GCTAGGCTGCAAAATCTGCCTGTGTCCTAACAACCAGGGATGTTAGGCAGCAGTGGCTACATGCTTCCTAGTGACATTACCAAAAATGTTACCTTCTACAATGTACAGAGAAGATTTTATGTAGGATGTTGATGAGGACAATTGTCTTTTCCCCACAACCCTGGTCCAGTGGTTGAGGGGGCCTGTGGGATTTCTTATCGAAATCTGAAAACTCCCCTTTAACAAAAAGGAGGCCCCCAGATACTGCTACCACTTGTGAATGAGTAAGGGGTACGTATTCATTTAATAATAATTATTTAAAAAGTCACGTCATCCACTAATGTAGATCCATCATGATGCCCAATGCCTGCTGAAAGAAAGATAAATACTGCTGTCATATCATATATGAACATGACCATACAGTCATGGGAAAAAATATTGGCACCCCTGCATTTTTATGAGATAATGCACCACTTCGCCCAGAAAAGTTTGGCTTCTTCAAGTAAGTTATGGCAAACTCCAATCTGGCTTTTTTATGCTTCTGTGTCAGCAGTGGGGTCCTCCTGGGTCTCCTACCATAGCATCCCTTTTCATTCAGATGTTGACGTATAGTGTGAGCTGACACAGTTGTACCCTGTTCCTGAAGGTCAGCTTGAATTTGTCTGGAAGTTGATCGAGGTCCTACAGCCACCATTTGAACAATCCTCCGTTGCAATATTTTATCAATTTTTCTCTTTAGTCCATGTCTTGGGTGATTAGCTACAGTGCAATGGGCTGTAAACTTCTCAACAATGTTGCGCACAGTAGACACAGAAACATTAAGATCTCTAGAGATAGACTTGTAACATTGAGATTGTCCATGCTTTTCCACAATTTTCACAATCCTAGTAATGCTGCACAATGTCCCCGTGCACATCTGGGTCAACATGAAACTGGACTGACAGTCCTAATTCTGCACAGTAATGCTGACATAAGCATTGTGGCAGGTAGGAGTGGGTTCCTAGCTACAGAAGTTGACTGAATACACACTGACCCCGTGCATAATAAACTTGCAGTGAAGGGGCGCAGTTTTGAATCTTTGCCTTTGGCATTGGATGACTTTGTCCTGGCAATAAGCTGAAAAAATGCTGTGGGACCCCACAGATTTAACACTATCACCTGCATTTTAAAAAAGGGCCATAGAATGAAGACCATGGTGTGTACCAACAGAGCAGACAGCAGAAAGTGATGTACACTCTTTCCATTAGAGACAGCCAAAAATGATGGACATCTAGTCATCACATATATATACGTTTGTTGGACATCACGTTACAAGCTGTGAGCATTATTATGGAGTTGACCCTTCCCCTCTTTTCAGCTATAACAGCCTCACTGTTATGGGAAGACTTTTCACAAGATTTTGAGATGCTTTGGTGGGAATTTGTGCCCATTCATCCAAAAGAGCATTTGTCAGTAATGATGTTGGAAGAGAAAACCTGATTGCATATGGCTTTCTGACTCATTACTAAAGTTTTCAGCAAGGTTGAGGTCAAGACCAGTCAAGTTCCGCCACACCAAACTTGTCAAACCATGTCTTTATGGACCTAACGCTGTGCATAGGGGTACAATAATGGTGGAACACAAAAGGGCATTCCCTAAACTGTTACCATAGCACACAATCTTCTAAAATGTCTTTGTATGTTAAAGTGTTAAAAGTACCTTTCATCTGGAAACTCCTAATGCTATCATTAAAGGAGTGCTCACATAGTTTTGGCTAAGCAGTAGGTGTGATGGTCAGGTGTCCAAAAATGTCTAGTCATTTTATGTAGTTAAAAGGTGAGCAAAATCCCAAATCCTTTCACAAAATACAGTCCAGTTTGCAGCTTTCCACAATAAATCTTCTACTAAAATCCTTATATGCCTATAATTTGATTGAGAGTTCTTGGGAATTTACAGCACATATTGCTGGAGAAAATCTCAGGTCAAATGAGTCATGGATTTATTTTCAAATTTATGGTTGTCCTAACTTCAGAAAGTTCTGGCAGTCAAGGAAAGTTTGTCATAAAAAGGCATTTAAAGGAGTTCATACTCCAAGTACTTTATTCCTCTTGTTTACATTCCAAGTCACTGGAGCTATCATTTAGTAAGCGTCTTGTCTGTGGATGTTGAATTATTTTATCAAATTGAATTAATTTACTCCAAATATACTACTTATTTTGCAAGAAACCACATTTCCTCAAGTGCATTTAGACCTTTTATCTAGTAAGAAGTACATTTTCTGTATCACAATTATTATTCCAAAAAAAACAAGGTCATTTCTTGGTGGAATCAATACAGTTTCAGCATTGTTAGGTCATGGAGCCCTCTGTCCTCTTCCAGTAAAGGTATTAACCAGATGTCATTGCATTTGACTTAGTCGTTTTAAAATGTCTTCGGTTTTTTTACAGTACAGTTCATTCAGAGTTGAATTACGTAAACTCTGGTGCATTTTTCATTTACTAACAGATAATGCACAGTAGTAAATTTGAATCACTTCAGTTTAAATTTTAGAAAAAATCAGCTTAGAGACAAGACCTCATTATGATGGTCATCATATCAGTACTGTTGTGTTAGGAGACTCTGACCCTTCTACAGTGATCAGTTAAAGGGCAACTCATTTGTGCACATGTAAACATGTATAGGGTCTCACTATGTCACTCTTTTACATCTCTGACAAAGCCATTTAATTGGAAACATTTTGGGTTTTGTTCTTTTTCCTTTTGGGAGTGGGTCTTTTCTTTAATATTTGTTTATACACTCACCAGCCGCTTTATTACAGTATTTACACCTGTTCAATTGCTTGGTAACACAAATTGCTAATCAGCCAATCACATGGTAGTAATTCAATGTATTTAGGCATGTGGATGCAGTGAAGACCACTCGCTGAAGTTCAAACCCAACATCAAAATGGGGAAGAAAGGGGATTTAAGTGACTTTGATCATGACATGGTTGTTGGTGCCAGATGAGTATTTAAAAAAATGTTGATTGATAGGACTGTTGTCGGTCTGTAGCCAACCTGTCCTCGTTCCTCTCTTACCACCGGATCAGGGGAAATAAAGCTATTGACACAAAAACGTTATAAGCCATACTTAAAGGTTTATTATGGCATGTTAGGGGTAATATACAGTAAGAAAATAGGCATCTCTTAGTCAGGATAACCAATAAAGCATTACACTCTTATCAGTATGGAGTGGGAACATAGTCGCCTCTCGAATGAGGCCTATGCATCATATCTGTCCAACATTCTTTGTTGGTACAGTTATATAGATGATATTGTTTTGATCTGGGATTCTGATGTAGATTCCTTGGAGACATTTATGAAATTGCTAGATCAGAATAGCTGTAATCTTAAATTCACTGTACAACATGATCCTAATACCATTTCATTCCTGGATATATCTATTTTTATTCAGGAGGATGGGACCATAAGCTCTACATTGTATAGAAAGCCTACGGCAGGGAATATCATTCTCCATGAGGGGAGCGCTCATCCATAGCCACTTATTAGAACTATACCATATTCCCAATACCTACGGATTAGGCGTAATATTTCCACAGAGGAACTGTTTGAGAGGGAGGCTGTGGCGCTGAGGGTGAGATTAATAAGGAGGGGTTACTCCAAAATGATCCTTAAAAAGGCCTACAATAGTGTTAAACTACAGACGAGGCATACTTTGCTATTTGGACAGCGGGAAAGTACTTAGCAGACATTGACATCTATTAACTGATGACCCTATTATAAATAAATATATTTAGGACTATCCTCAAATTACATTCAAAAGATTTAGATCACTTAAAGACTGCCTTGTTAGGAGTCATTTCCAGGACATGCCACCCAATATTGAAGGGAAGAAGGGTACCTTCAAATGTGGATCATGTGACTACTGTCCGTGGATTTTGGAGGGGACATCTATAATTTTACCTTATGGGAGAACACACAGAATTAGACAATTTGTGGATTGCCAAACCAAAGGTGTGATATACATAATGTTTTGTAAATGTGGTACCTTTTATGTCGGTAAAACCATTAGAAATTTTTGGAGAAGGATATTTGACCATATCTACTATATTAGAAGAAATTTGCTCTATACACCTAAGACATGTGGCTCTGAAACATGGTCATAATATAGATATTATACAATATATATATCTTTGATATAGATATAGATATTATATGATTTGCAGTCCTTGAAAGGGTTCTGGAGGATCCACTTGGTGTAAATTTTGATCGGAAGGTGCTGCAAAAAGAGGCTAGATGGATATATAGTTTAAAGGCAACCTCCCCTCCTGGCCTCAATGAGGCATTGAGTTATAATCCCTTCTTATAAAAATGGGTATTTTTAGAGCCATTGGTGTGGATATTCTGTGTGTTTGCTCGGTAGATATTTGATGACCCTCCACCATGATTATGTTATGGGGTTGGCTTACAATTATATAACCCTTGTTGCTATCATAAATCCTATTTGTGAGAACGGTGCTATGGGGCGTTAACTTTGTTGATTTATACAGATTTTTTGTTTAATCTTTGATAAATTATTCTCCACATTAATGTAACCTATGTCATGGAAGGGGTTTTTTTGGGGGGGTTTGCAGAACCTACTTGTGGTCTGGTCTGGATGGATTTTTGTGCCCTTGGCCTCTTTGTCATCTTCATTTATAATCCTATAGATTTCTCAAATATGGGGAGCTGACTAATACAGTTAGTGCGACTCTGCCCATGAGATTGTAATAGATGTAGTTTGAACTATGTGGTGCTCCTGTCTTGCGCTTAGGGTTGCTCTTTAGGTGCATATGTTTGAGACTGAGGGGTTATTAAGAAGAATATGTAGGTGTCATGGCCGTCTTCTAGATGTGAGGATGCACTTCCACCCAAGAGCTGGTAAGGGTGGAAGCAGGAGCGGACTGACAACTCATGGGGCCCCCGGGCAATAGGGGATCATGGGGCCCTTGTGTCCTTGCCCAAACTCAAAAAAGCCTATGAAAAAGGTACCAGGGGCATCTCATGGGGCCCCCTACTGACCCTGGGCCCTCGGGCACTGCCCGAGTTTCCAAATGGTCAGTCCACCCCTGGGTGGAAGTGACGCACACGCGATGTGTGCCGATCGCGGGATGGGCGGTTCATTCCTATGGGATGAATCTGTCCGGCCTTGATCGATGACATAATTTAAATGCCCCGATAGATGATTGTTTTGGCGCCAATGGGGAAGGACGCACACAGCCGCTACACATTGATCTGGAGGTAGGACAGATACTAATTTGGGCAGGCATGTTGTTTGGAGTGGTTGGAGCTGGGAACAGTACTAATTACTGAATATGGCCACATATGTATGTGATTATAGGAGCCATTGCAGATGATCCTGGTGACTGACACTGAAGAGCTGTTGGACAAGCAGTTTAGTGATACTGCATAATTATTATTCGTGGGTGGACTTTTGCTATCTTGATCTTGATGCTGGGATTACCAGGTATGACTCTATCGATTTAAGGTTGAGTGGTATTGATGGAACGATGAGAAATGTGGATGTTCCCGCTGACTCTGTATTATTGTGTTTAGACTGCTCTGTGGAGAGTGTGCACAGAAAATATCGCATATGTTTGACATCGGCATGTGGATAGATTTGATGTCTGCTTTTTTTCTCAGTGAGTTACTTAGTGTGAGTCATGTTGGGGGAGTTATTCTTGTTCCCTTCCTTTTCTCCTCTTCTTTCCTCCCCTTTCTGTTTTAGGATGAAATATGATTATTTGGTCTATTTACAGAGCCTTACTATGAGGGGATTTGGCCATGTGTGCCGCTGTTCATCTATGACCATTTTAACCATTTTAACCACTGTGTGGATGCTGCTATCCTTTATTACCGCTCATGTTGACGTAAGTTTTTGGAGAAGGTTTCTGTTAGTAAAGTTTGTGTAATAATTACAATTATTTAAATAATGTTTTGTATATATATGCATATATGTATCTTCCAGCTAGGGCATTGGACTTCTTTGCCTCCAACTCTTTCGGGGTCCTGAGGAAGCTTATAAGCAAAGCGCGTCGACCTCTCGAGGACTTTGATGTCATGACATATAATGCTGTAAACTATTGGGCTGACTAGCTAAAATACTGTTTTTATGGTAAATTTTTGGAAGATATGTTTCAATAAACATGTTTTTATACAACAATATGAGGTTGTCTGTTTTCTGTACCAGTAAAGTCCCATTTGGTGGGTTTTTTTTCTTTATCAGTATAGTTACGTGAAAAACAGAAACTGCAATAGCTGAGGTGCACTCTATTAGGTATATCCATTTACACAGAATGAAAGCACATTCCAGAGAAAGGAAACTTAAGCTGTTGCACATCTAAAATGGAGGAATTATATAAAATGAATGCCAGTTTAACCGCCTCTCTCATTTTGGGATGACGTCATATGACGTCCTCCCACTCTAACCGCGCATGAGCAGCTCCGGGATCACGCAGCGCAGTGATCGGTGGTTCGCTGTGTCCCTCGGACACAGCGGATCATCAATCAACGGAAAGAGCCGAAGATGTCGGCTCGGTCATGTGATCAGCTGTGTCCAATCAAATAGGGAAATGCCGGTTATCGGCATTTCTCTCCTCACGAGCTGTCACGCTGAAAGCTCGAGAGGAGAGGAGAGCCGGTAATCGGCATTCCTCGAAGGGGACATGTGAACTGATCATCAAGGCTTTGATGATCAGTGTAGCCCCAGAAGTGCCACCTGTTAGTGCCCATCAATGCCACCTGCCAGTGCCCATCAGTGCCTCATCAATGCCACATATCAGTGCCTGCCAGTGCACATCAATGCCACATATCAGTGTCCATCTGAGCTGCCTTTCAGTGTCACCTATCAGTGCCAGTCAGTGCCACCTATCAATGCCAGTCAGTGTCACCTATCAGTGCTGCCCATCAGTGCCACTTATCAGTGCCAGTCAGTGTCACCTATCAGTGCCAGTCAGTGCCACCTATCAGTGCACATCAGTGCTGCCTATCAATGCCTGTCAGTGCTGCCTAACAGTGCTAGTCAGTGCCGCCTAACAGTGTCAGTCAGTGCCACCTAACAGTGCCAGTCAATGCTGCCTATCAGTGCCATATATGAGTGCTGCCTTTCAGTGCCCATCAGTGATGCCTGTCAATGCCCATCAGTGCCACCTACTAGTGCCTCCTCATCAGTGCCCATCAGTGCCACCTATCAGTGCCCATCAGTGCAGCCTATCAGTGCCCATCAGTGCAGCCTCATTACCGCACATCAGTGAAGGAGAAAAATCACTTACTTACAAAATGTTATAACAATAACTAAGAAAAACGTTTTTTTTTTTTTCAAAATTTTCAGTTTTTTTTGGTTTGTTTATCAAAAAAATAAAAAACCCAGAGGTGATTAAATACCACCAAATGAAAGCTCTATCTGTCTCAAAAAAAATTATAAAAATGTCACATGGGTACAGTGTTGCATGACTGTGCAATTGTCATTCAAAGTGCGACAGCGCTGAAAGCTGAAAACTGGCCTGGGCAGGAAGGGGGTATAAGTGACCGGTAGGCAAGTGGTTAAAGATATATCTACTTACACTGATCTACTGGTATTTCCACACACAACCCTCCCTAAGGTTTACAGAGAATGGTCCAAAAAGAGAAAATATCCAGTGAGTCGCAGTTGAGTGGACAAGGTAACAGAAGAATGGGCAGGCTAGTTTCTGCGACATTCAGATGGTAGGGATAGAATTTGGTGTAAACAACATGAAAGCATGGATCCATCCTGCCTTGTACCAATGGTTCAGGCTGGTGGTGGTGGTGGTGGTGTAATGGTGTGGGGGATATTTTCTTGGCACTAGCAAGGTGTACCTAAAAAAGTGGCCAGTATATTGGTGAATGCAAGGACTCTTGAAAAATTACTATAGTGATAGGACAGGGATCACCTTAAAAATTGTTGGTCCATCTGAAAAAATTTGATAGCTGTATGCTCAATATGGTCCTGGTGGTCCTACTTCGTATCCAGATACAATATTCTTTTGCATTACGCTGTAAGTGGTGGTCTTATATACAGAGAGCACTTTCTATAGTCAGTCAAATTATTTACTTATTTTACAAGTTGATAGAATAAAGTGTTTTAAGGATCTAGTGGGATGGATGTGCAGTGAGAAAGCGCATCACCATTGCATTGAAAGTCCAAAGAGCAACTTGAAACAACAACAAATCAGATAAATAAATCAGAACTCTAGCTGAGTTTACAAGAAGTGGGTTGGATGATACTCGCCATGATTTAACCTAGAAATACTGTTTCTCTGAAGCTCTAGGTTAAAGTTCATTTTTGCAGCAAACCTTGCATTTTATTTTTCCAGACACAAGCACAAGGCAACATTAGAAAGAAATTATTGGGAGTTTTTTATTCACAACTTGAGTTTAACCCCTTGACGCCGATGTCACACAAATATGCAGCCTCACGGGACTGGGCTTTTTTCCGTGGGGCCGCATATTTTCATACTTGTCTTTGTGCTGGAAGCGCGCCGTATGGCATGCTCCTAGCACAAAGACCATGGTGTCACTGAGAGCCCTGGGTCCCGTTCTAACGATCGGGACCCAGGACTCCCGATTCCGGGTCACATGATTGCTGTGAAAGCTTCTGATTGGCTATCACAGTGATCAGTCACTGTACAGTCCAGCCCCCTTGTTTTTTTTCTCTCTCTATGAATGGAGAAGAGAGATACATTGTATCTCTCTAACTCCTGGCATAGAGAGAAAAAAAAGTTTGTAGAAAAAAAAAAAGAAGATAAATAAATATTAAAAAATAAAAGAAAAAATAAAGAAAAATACCTAGATCAAGGTTTGATCTAGTTCAGCGTCAGGGTTAGTGTTTGGGTCAAGGTCAGGGTAAAAGGTCAAGGTCAAAGGTCAGGATTTTTAAAAAAAATTGGTATCAGTGTCAGTTAGTGTCAATGTCAGTGTCAGTGTGTTTTAGGTATAAAAAAAAAGACAAAGACAAAATGCGCACTATTGTTTCTGGGCTGTACTATGAGTACACACAACAAATAACATACATATATATGGTATCGCTGCGATCGTCAAGAGCTGGAGAATTTATTGTGGGTTGTTCTTTGGGGGTAGGTTATGGTAGTAACAAGAAACACACAGCTAAATAAAAAAATGATTTTTTTTTTACTATTTTGGGCCAGTGTTCCTTTGATAATAAAAAAAAATCAGGAGCCATCCATTACCGTTTACCACCAAATGAAAGCCCAATTTCTCCTGAAAAAACCAAGGTATAATCCACCTGGATGTACAAAGTAGTTGTGATGATATGTACGGGTTTACTAACACATGTCAACGTTGCAGAATTGTGCTTAGGCATTTAGATTTGTTTTACCCTTAAAACAACTTGAAGCAACACAGGGGAGATTTACTATTACTGGAGCACTCAATCTGGTGCAGCTGCTTTAAGCAATAAAACCTGGAAGCTGATTGGTTTCTATGCAGCGTTGCATCAGATTCTGCACTCTTAAGTTTTAGTAAATAAACCCCTCAGCAGGGGCGGACTGACATCTCATGGGGCCCCCCGGGCAATAGGAGATCATGGGGCCCCTGTGTCCTTGCCCAAACTCAAAAAAGCCTATGAAAAAGGCACCAGGGGCATCTCATGGGGCTCCCTACTGACCCCGGGCCCTCGGGCAGTGTCCGAGTTTCCAAATGGTCAGTCCGTCCCTGCCCCTCAGTGGTTTATTTTTTAATTGTTTTAGAGACGTCTTGGTTCAGCACCTTATATTTTTCTGCTAAGGGTCCTTTCACATGGGCATTCCATTTTTTTCATCAGTTACGTCATGTTTTTTCAAAGAAAAAACTGATCAGTTTACATCAGTTTTTTCATCCATCTTCATCCGTTTACATCCGTTTTTCATCCATTTTCATCTGTTTTTTTATCCGTTTACATCCGTTTTTCATCTGTTCTCATCTGCTTTTTATCTGTTCTAAGGGTCCTTTCACATGGGCATTCCATTTTTTTCATCAGTTACGTCATTTTTTTCAAAGAAAAAACTGATCAGTTTACATCAGTTTTTTCATCCATCTTCATCCGTTTACATCCGTTTTTCATCTTTTCATCTGTTTTTTTATCCGTTTACATCCGTTTTTCATCTGTTCTCATCTGCTTTTTATCTGTTTCATCCGTTCTCATCTGTTTTTCATCCGTTTACATCTGTTTTTTATCTGGTTACATCCATTTTCATCCTTTTTCAACTGTTTACATCTGTTTTTCATTCGTTTACATACATTTTACATACTTTTTGCGCCTGTTCGTTTTTTTTTTACAGAAGAAAAATAGGATTTTATTCCGTTCAAAAAAATGGATGTTAACGAGTATGGACATTAACGGATGTAAACGGATGATCATTCGTTTACATCTGCTAATCCATAGAAATACATGGGTGTCTGTTTTTCATCCGTAAATGGACAGATGAAAAACAGACATATGGAACACCTGTGTGAAAGAGGCCTAAGAGGATATCACATAACTGTGAGATAGCAGAATGAGAAAGCTCAAAGTCAATGGGGTTGATTTACTAAAGGTAAATATACTGTGTGCTGCAAGTGCAGTAGCTTTAGATCCAAGGAGAAGCTCTGAAATAAGGCAAAGCTCTGCTGATTTCTTTCATCCAATCATGTGCAAGCAAAAATTATGTTTTTTATTTTCCTTGCATGTTCCCTTCAGATCTAGAGCAACTGCACTTGCAGCGCACAGCCTATTTGCTTTTAGTAAATCAACCCCTCTGTCTGTATTTTCATTTAGAGCTTCTTTTTTTTTTTTTACCCATTTGACAATACAATGTAGCTCATGCAGGAAAAATTATTTGCTTGTACATTCTGTTTGCATTACATTAACATAAGATCAAGTTTGGATTGCATGGGAACAAATTTGCATGACTGTTCTTACAAGTTTAATGCAAAAAACTCCAAATGTCAAATTTGGCATTATTTAAAAAAAAATTATAATAGTTTCCGAAGGTGCTTTTAAAAATATTCCTGGGAATATAAAAACCAGATAAGGCATGTACTGCATATTAAAATACAGGTGAAACAAGAAAAATTTGAATATCGTGCAAAAGTGCATTTATTTCAGTAATGCAACTTAAAAGGTGAAACTAATATATGAGATAGACTCATTACATGCAAAGCAAGATAGTTCAAGCCGTGATTTGATTCCACAATCTCAGAAAATTAGAATATTACATGCAATCAATAAAACAAGGATTGTACATAGAACAATATTGGACCTCTGAAAAGTATAAGCATGCATATGTACTCAGTACTTGGTTTGGGCCCCTTTTGCAGCAATTACTGCCTCAATGAGGCGTGGCATGGAAGCTATCAGCCTGTGGCACTGCTGAGGTGTTATGGAAGGCCAGGATGCTTCAATAGCGGCCTTTAGCTCTTCTGCATTGTTCGGTCTCATGTCTCTCATCTTGATCTTGGCAATGCCCCATAGATTCTCTATGGGGTTCAGGTCAGGTGAGTTTGCTGGCCAATCAAGCACAGTAATCCCACAGTCATTGAACCAGGTTTTGGTGCTTTTGGCAGTGTGGGCAGGTGCCAAGTCCTGCTGGAAAATGAAGTCAGCATCCCCATAAAGCTCGTCTGCGGAAGGAAGCATGAAGTGCTCCAAAATCTCCTGGTAGACGGCTGCGTTGACCCTGGACTTAATGAAGCACAATGGACCAACACCAGCAGATGACATGGCTCCCCAAAGCAACACAGACTGTGGAAACTTCACACTGGACTTCAAGCATCTTGCAGTGTGTGCCTCTCCATTCTTCCTCCATACTCTGGGTCCTTGGTTTCCAAATGAGATGCAAAAGTTGCTCTCATCAGAAAAGAGAACCTTGAACCACTGAGCAACAGACCAGGTCTGTTTTTCTTTAGCCCAGGTAAGATGCTTTTGACGTTGTTAGTTGTTCAGGAGCAGCTTGACAAGAGGAAGCCCATGTCCAGGATCCGTCTGTGTGTGGTGGTGCTCTTGATGCATTGACTCCAGCCTCAGTCCATTCCTTGTGAAAGTCCCCAACACTTTTGAATGGCCTTTTCCTGACAATCCTCTCCAGGCTGCGGTCATCCCTGCTGCTTGTGCACCTTTTTCTTCCACACTTTTCCCTTCTACATAACTTTCTATTAATGTGCTTTGATACAGCACTTTGGAAACATCCAACTTCTTTTGCAATTACCTTTTGAGGCTTTCCCTCTTTATGGAGGGTGTCAATGATGGTTTTCTGCACAACTGTCAGGTCAGCAGTCTTTCCCATGATTATGATTCCTACTGAACCAGACTGAGAGACCATTTAAAGGCTCAGGAACCCTTTGCAGGTGTTATGGCTTAATTAGCTG